ATTCAGACAAGGAAAGAAAAGAGAGACTTTTGATTTTTACTCAGCTACAACATGAAATGAAAGCTTGTGTACGTTCATTAACGACCTTTGTGATTTTAATATAATATAGCTATATTTTATAAGTGCGAAGTTAAAAGCTAGATTACCAAAATATTGAAAGAATATAAAGAAATATACTAGAAAGGATCGTGAGAAATTTTCTGGATTTTGTATTTCTTCAACTTGGGGACTACAAAGTTGCTATACAAGAAAATATATAGGAACTTCCTAGGGATTGAATGGTAATAAAATAAACTAATGTACCTACCTAGTACATAGCATAAAATAACACATGTACTATTTCCAGAGTACTCTACTCTAAAATATCTGTACATGTATATGTATTTACAAGGAAATTATTCTACTAGAACAAAGTGTATTTTTGCAACAGTTCGGGTATTTTTGATCTTTTTCCGTAGATAAAGGGAATGAAGAGAAGAGGGGAACACGAACACGGAACACTCATAGGGAACAAGACACACCACTGCATCACATATTAGATTTTCTGCAAAGCTAAGAACACTAGAAACAATATATTTAGTTTTTCTAAAATTCAACAGTTGTTATCTGATCTTTTGGGAACATCTAACAATGTCGACAACAATAGGACTGACATAGAAATGCACTTTAGTAGGTAGTAGAGCATTGTCTTGCTTATTCTTCCTTGTTAGTAGTCGTAGTATTTCTCCTATAGTTTCTCGTCCTCTCTAGTTGTAGTATTTCTCTCATAGCTTTTGCATTTCTTCAAATTTCTGTTACTATGTACTGTCATTTGTATTCTGATTATCGTACTATTTTCTTTTCTTTTTTCAGTGCTTTTTCTTAAGGGGTATATCGGAAAGAACATAAGCTCTATGTAGACTCTACTCCTCCCACACTCCACTAGTTGAATTACTAGGTATGTTTTTGTAAATCATGAATGCCCACATGACTTTTGAAAAGATGCAAAAGAAAGACCGTTGAACAACAACATCATTGTCATCATACTATGATGATACTAGTGAAAAGATCCTAACTTATAAGTTGAATAACAAAAATTGAAAGATACAATGGATATCATACAAAAGTGATCCGATATTGCTAAAAGAGGATGAATGATGATAGTCCATACATTATTATCCCTTTATTTGAAAAAAAAAAGATGACATTTATTGTACAACAAATCACAAACTCTGACATTGTTCTTATATCTGATGGTTTACGGTGCTCTATTTCTCTTCACAGTCTGAAAAGATCAAGACCAGTCTTATCGAGAGGCTTCGAGAAAAACTTGGTAACATAATCAACTACTTGAAAATCTTTATATAGTGGGGGGTTCTCTTCAGATATGAGTTCTTTGATTGGACCATACATCTTTGAAGGTGCTAAAAGACCATTGAAGAAGCATGCCACTGAAATCCTTGGTCCTATCTTGTTCGCTACAACTCTATGATTTGCACTTACAAACTTATCATTTGATAGGATCTGTTACAAAATCAGATTCAGATGAGTAACAATTTGTGAAAAATGATGACAAAAAGTTATGTTTTGTTGCAAACCTGAAGAAGGTCACCAATATTAACAATCAAACCATGTTGAATCGGTGTAACATCGGCTAATTGGTTGTCACGCATTACTTGTAGCCCACCACTCTGATCTTGAAGGACAATGGTAAGAAAACTAGGATCAGTATGCTTAGCGGTACCAAGAGTTAGCTCTGGTTGTGGGCATGCCGGGTAGTAATGGCATGCCAACACTTGTCCTTTATCACATTCCGCGGCTTTCAAGTGGTCAGGTTTTAGCCCAAGTGCTTCTGATAGTAAGCCAAGAAGAATGTCGGCTAGTTTCGTGACATGATTTATGTACTCAAGGGATGTTTTCCTGAAAAATACCATCAACATCAAACAGGAGAGATAGAATTGAAATTCAAGTGCAGAGTAGTTACCTGCAAACTCGTGGTATTTCTTCGGGTTTAGAAACTACAGCAGAGATGAAGAGTGTATCTTTCCAGCTAACACTTGTTCCTTTTGTTTTGTACACATGAAGATTGCTGTCATATCTAACTTCTCTCGTTGGATCAGACGAATAGTACTCTTTCTTCACTTCAACATCTTGTTCATGGAATTTACGAGTCCCATCGATCATTCCTTCCAAAACACTTGAAGGAATCCCATGATTTATCAGTTGGAAAAATCCCCATTTCTCAGATGCTTCCCTTATTTCATCAACAATCTTCTTACGCCGATCTTCCAATTCTACACCACTTAGATCAACCACCGGAACCTGTAGAGTTGATGACTTGCACATATTCAACTCCTCATCAAGTTCATGAGGTGGCCTAATGAAAATTCTTGGAATCTCGATTATTCCAGCATCGATGAGTCCCTTAACACCAGCCTTTGTATCATCAATAGCCTGTATCTCAGCCCATCCTTCTTCATAATCCATTGCTAATTCACTTTTGGATAGTCTTTCTTCTTATTTTCAACAAAGCTAACTCTACATATATATCTTTTAATTAGGTTGACGTCAATGTAGTACGTAATATTTCTATTATTAGACACCAACAGTACAGCAAAAGAGATATTTAGTGGCAATATATTTTACTTTGTCATCGATGGCCTCCTTCCGTGACACGAGCTCAAGCTACGCAGGGGCGATGTACCCCTGAGTACCCTCAATGTGCATAGTTATTGCGACATAATACATAAATATGTTCTTGAATTAACTTGGTCTCAACTGATATCTCCGTCCTCCAACTTTACAAGTAGACACTTGCATCATGATTTTGTTTGAAATATTTGAATAAGTTTTTCAATATTTCAAATATTTTAAAATTTAGGGAAATACAAATGCCAAAACAGAGTATTTGCAAATGCTGAAATACTATTCAATTAAGTATTTAAAGAATATGAGTTTCAAATTTGTCAACAAACTTATAGCTCATTTTTGGGTTTACGATTAAATATTTATACATATTGGATAAATATCATAGTACAAATATATAATCTAAACAAAACAAAAATTATTGATTTATTCAAACCCATAGCTAATATTGTAGCTACTACCTAACTATAGTAAATGTTGCAAGATAGGACTTGATGACGTTTTCTTTGTTTAATAGGACAACTAATATAATATATTCAAAGTCGTACATGACATATTTTTTGGGAGTAAGCATGCAGGGTGCTAACAAAATTGAGGTCACAGACAAGAAATTTCATTTAGGGGGTAATTTTATTTTGAACTTTGCCTTGAGTTCATTTTTTTATTAATAAAAGATGTTCTTTTTATGGGAATTTTTTTTTTGTTGATTCTTACAATAAGATAGAAGGGGTTAACATTATTTGATTGATTCTTATCCCTTTTTGCTGCTGCTTGGTGACCAGTTTTATCAAACAAATAATCAGATACTTGAAAGTCTTTATATAGTGGGGGATTTTCTTCTGATATGAGCTTAGCTTCTTGGTGACCTTCTTCAGGTTGGCAACAAAAGCTACTCATCTCTACTTTTTGTAATCATTTCTTACAAATTGTTACTCATTTTGTAACACATCTTATCAAATAACAAGTTTGTAAGTGCAATTCATAGAGTTGTAGCAAATAAGGTAGGACCAAGGACCTCCAAAGATGTATGGTCCAATCAAAGATTTCTCCAGCCTGTTGATGATTTTTGTAGATTTATAAAGTTAATTTTGGTTTCCCACTTGGTGTTCGGAACCCACAGTCTTTATAACATATATGGATATTAAATAAGGAAAAACTATCTAATTAGACATACTTTACTACCACATATACTTAATTTACCTCTAATTTTAAAAAATTTACACAAAATACCACTTTTAATATTTATACGATATATTTTAAAATATTTAATCAGATATACAAATCTCTTAAATATGGTATTGAATAATTATATTAAAATTAACCTCTTTGATTAGTGTTAAGTTATCAATTCAATTTTTTCATAATGTAGTATCACTACTTGAGGGAGGACTGGGTGACCATAACATCTCTAGGAATTTCTTAATATATACTCTAGATCCGCCACTGGCAACACGTATCCAAATATGATCAATAAGAAATGAAGATAAACTGCTATACTGAGGCAGTGACCTATATCAATAAGTCTGAAGATATAATTTTTATAGGATATGATTTTTATTTTTATTAATTAGATAGATAAGAAATATGTGGAGATGAATGGATTAAACAAAAAGCAAGGTTATAATATGACACAGTTACCCTAATATAAATAATGAAAATGGTTAAAATGTCATAATCGTCCTTTGTTTGGCTTTAGTAGAAATAACGGGAAAAAGACAAGAATATTCTCTCCATTCCATTTTATGTGACGTCCTTTAATTTGACTCGGTGTTTATAAAAAAAAAACAACATTTTTATAACTTGTGGTCTAAAATAATTCTTAAATATTTGTATGACTGAAAATTATTTCATTAAGGCTAGCGGAATTTTAAAGTTAAATTATTTTTAATTAAAATAAAGTGATAATCTTTTTCGAAACAAACAAAAAAAAGTGTCATATAAAATAAAACCAATAATTTGAATTATTGGCTTAAAAAAAGGTGTCACATCACTTAAACTTTATCAGAAAAATGAATAGTATTATGTAACATGATTATGAAGATGAAATAAAAAAATATATATATAATTCAATTAGCCCATAATTGTGCAACTACTTGAAGCTAAATTACAGAAGTCCTAGAATTTCAGATGGTCACTAAACTATGAATTATTTCCATAGAAAGTTATTCAACTTTAACTTGAAGCGAAATTACCGAAGTCCTAAAATTTTAGATGGTCACTAAACTATGAATCATTTCCATAGAAAGTAATTCAACTTTAACTTGAAGCGAAATTACAAAAGTCCTAGAATTTCAGATGGTCACTAAACTATGGATTATCTCCATAGAAAGTTATTCAACTTTAATTTTTAACTCAACCAATTTAATTGATTTTCTCATTAAACAACAGAGAATATGAAAGACATTGTTATACAACATTATATTATTGTACTGCGAATAGCAAATTTTGATCGACAACTGAATGATGATAGTCTTTTCTGATGGTTTTTGCTGGTGCTAGGCGACGTCTGTCTTCAGAGTCTGAAAAGATCAAGACCAGTCTTATCAAGAGGCTTGGAGAAAAACTTAGTGAGATAATCATCTACTTGAAATTCTTTATATAGCAGGGGATTTTCTTCTGAAATGAGCTCTTTGATTGGACCATGCATCTTCGGAGGTGTAGAACCTCCAGTGAAGAAGCTTGCCACTGAAATCCTTGGTCCTACATTTTTCGCTACAACTCTATGAATTGCACTTACAAACTTGTCATTTGATAGGATCTGTTTACAAAATCAGATTGAGTAACAGTTTGTGATAAAATGAAATAAAAAAAGTTGTGTTTTGTTGCAAATTACCTGAAGGAGGTCACCAATATTAACAACTAAACCATGTTCAATCGGTGTAACATCGGCCCATTGGTTATCACACATGACTTGGAGCCCACCATTCTGATCTTGAAGCAGAATGGTAAGGAAAACAGGATCTGTATGCTTACCAAGAGTTAGCTCTGGCTGTGGGCATGCCGGGTAGTAATTGCATACCAACCCTGGTCCTTTGTCACATCCGATAGCTTTCAAGTGGTTTGGATTTAGCCCGAGAGCTTCTGATAGTAAGCCAAGAAGAATGTGTTGAAGTTTTATGACATGATTTATGTACTCAACGGATGGTTTTCTGGAAAAGATGAGAGGTTAGATTTAATGCAAAAACTTCAATATATACAACACACACATCAAACAGGACAGATACAGAGTTAGTTACCTGCAAACTGGTGGTATTTCTTCAGGGTCATTGTGACCAGAATCTTGCCACGAGATGTGTAATGAATCTCTCGAGTTTGCTGCCTTTCCTTTTGTTTTGTACAGATGAAGATTGCTCTCATATCTAACTCGTCTTGCTGTTGGATCAGACGAATAGTACTCTTTCTTAACTTCAACATCTTGTTCATGAAATTTACGAGTCCCATCAATCATTCCTTCCAAAACACTTGAAGGAACCCCGTGATTTATCACTTGGAATAAGCCCCATTTCTCAGATGCTTCCCTTATTTCATCAACAATCTTCTTACGCCCATCTTCAACTTCTATGCCACTTAGATCCACTACTGGAGGAATATGTAGAGTTGACTTACACATATTCAACTCCTCAGCAACTATTCCAGAGTCAACGTCTAGTCCCTTAATACCAGCTTTTCTCTCATCCATTTCAATCTTCTACCTAGTTCAATCGAGTAAATGCAGATAAAAAGTTTTAAAACGAGTTAGAAATTGAAAATTAAATTTACAAACCGCTAAAGTGAGATGAAGAGATCTAGAGCAAGACAATAATAATTAAGTAAGAAGAACTTACAAGTGGATATCGCCAGAGAAATAGATGAATATTACTCGGAGATGAAATGATTACTTATATTAGATAGATAAAGAGATTCGCGGAGATGAAATGATTATTATATTATATAGTATCTTATATTAGATAGATAGAGAGATTCGCGGAGATGAAATGATTATTATATTATATTATATTAGATAGATAGAGAGATTCGCGGAGATGAAATGATTATTATATTATATTATATTAGATAGATAAATAGATTCGCGGAGATGAAATGATTATTATATTATATATTAGCTAGATAAGAGATATGGGGAGAATGCATATCTTATACCCACTTAGATCCACGACCGGAACCTGTAGAATTGACTTGCACATTGTCAACTCCTCAGAAAGTTCATGAGATGGCCTAATGAAAATTCTTGGAATCTCCACTATTCCAGAATCAACTAGTCCTTTAACACCGGCTTTTGTATCATCAATAGCCTTTTTCTCATTTGATGGATCATAATCCATTTCTAATTCAGCCTGAGAGTACTCTTCAGTGCCGGATATCTTTTCTTCTTAATTTCAACAAGGTCAACTCTTGAATATTCAGTGAGTTTATCATTTTACCCCATGGTTCTACCTTTTTCAAAAACATTAACTTTCTAAATAACTTGAGGGTATAATAGGTAAAAAATATTGTTTTTTCTTGATTTGTCAAAAATGAAAAGTAAAAAGGGACAGAGGGAGTATATCTTTTATAATTAGTTTGAAGTTAAGACTTTAGATCTGGGTATCACTCTGTCCTAGAATTCTGTAAAATATTAGTTTAATGTTTTTTACTATAAACTAATGAAGTTAGGTGGACATGTTGCAAAGAATCCATAAATACACCACATGGATTTCTGGAAAATCCTATTGGGGTTAGATGCAAAAGGAGTTAGAAGGCTGAGCATATGATTAAAAATAATTCACACATTGGAAACAGAAAGAGTGCAGAATAAATAAATTGGGATAAGCTGCGCCATATTCCTCCAGTACTCATGTGTAAAACATTATTGTACAGATAAGAACATACTTTAATGTAATAACAATCACAGGTTTTATGAAGGACTATACCGATGGCGTTTGTCGCTGCTTGGTAATGTAGCTTTTGGTGTATCTTCACAGTCTGAAAACGTCAAGGACAGATGTACCAAGAGGTCTGGACAGAAACTTAATATTTTAGATGATATAAGTGAAAATGCATCTACTTCTGCTTATATGATTGAGTCTATATCTTTGTTTCCTAGTAGATTAGGACATGTTAATGTTCCGTATATAAAGAACACGCAGTTTCTTGATTTAGACTCAAACAATATTAACAATGTGAAATATGTATTGAAACTAAAGCAACTAAGACAGCAGTTAATAGTGATCACTTGAAAGATCCACTGGATCCCATACATAACTGATTATAGTGCATAACATTATTATAGGAACAAATTGAAGGATACACAAGGGAGTATGTTCTTGAAATTTATCCCTTTATTTGAAAATAAACAGCAGAATAAGAAAGACATTGTTAAAAAAACATTATTGTACTGTGAATCGCAAACTCTGGCGTTGTTCTTTTTGAATGATGATAGTATTTCCTGATGGTATATGGTTATTTTAGCTGCTGCTTGGCGATGTGGTTATCGGTCTCTATTCAAAGTCTGAAAAGATCAAGACCAGTATTATCAAGAGGCCTGGACAAATACTTAGCGAAATAATCAGCTACTAGAAAGTCTTCATATAGTGGTGGTTTTTCTTCTGATATGAGCTCTTTGATTGGACCATACATCTTCGGAGGTGAAGAACCTCCAGTGAAGAAGCAAGCCACTGAAATCCTTGGTCCTATCTTTTTCGCTACAACTCTATGAATCACACTTACAAACTTGTCATTCGATAGGATCTGTTACAAAATCAGATGAAGATGAGTACCAATTTGTAAAGAAATGAGAATAAGAAGTTGTGTTTTGTTGCAAACCTGAAGAAGGTCACCAATATTAACAAACAGACCATGTTCAATTGGTTCAACATCGGCCCATTGGTTATCATTCATGACTTGGAGCCCACCAATCTGATCTTGAAGCAGAATAGTAAGGAAAACAGGATCTGTATGCTTACCACTACCAAGAGTTAGCTCTGGCTGTGGGCATGCTGGGTAGTAATGGCATGCCAACGCTAGTCCTTTGTCACATTCCGCAGCTCTCAAGTGGTCAGGTTTTAGCCCAAGAGCTTCTGATAGTAAGCCAAGAAGAATGTCCCCTAGTTTTGTGACATGATTTTTGTACTCAAGGAATGTTCTCCTGGATATTAGGGAAAGATCAGAGATTACTAAGTTACAAAAACTTCAACACCTTGTACGCATCAAACATGACAGATATAGAATTAAAAGCAAGCGCATAAAATACAGAGTTACCTGCAAACTGGTGGTATTTCTTCAGGTTCAATGTATCCAGAAACTAGAGCAGAGATATGTAATGAATCCTTCCAGGTTGCAGTCCTTCCTTTTGTTGTCAACACTTTAAGATTGCTCTCATATCTAACTCCTCTGGTTGGATCAGACGAATAGTACTCTTTCTTCACTTCAACATCTTGTTCATGAAATTTACGAGTCCCATCGATCATTCCTTCCAAAACACTTGAAGGAATCCCATGATTTATCAGTTGGAAAAATCCCCATTTCTCAGATGCTTCCCTTATTTCATCAACAATCTTCTTATGCCCATCTTCAAATTGTATGCCACTGAGATCCACCACTGGAACTTGTAGAGTCGACTTGCACACATTCAGCTCCTCAGCAAGTTCATGAGGTGGCCTAATGAAAATTCTTGGAATCTCGACCATTCCAGAATCAACTAGTCCCTTAATACCAGCCTTTGTATCATCAATAGCCTTTACCCCATCCAATGGATCATAATCCATTTCTAATTCAGCTTTAGACTCTTCAGCAAGATCAACTCTTGAGTATCTCTTTTTAATTAGTTTGAAGTTAAGACTGCAGATCTGGGGAATCACTTTGTCCTAGAATTCGTTAAAATAGTAGTTTAATGTTTTTTACTATAAAGTATAAACTAATGAAGTTAGGTGGACATATTGCAAAGAAACCATAAATCCACCACATGGATCTCTGAAAAATCCTATTGGGGTTAGACACAAATGAAGAAAAAAGGCTGACCATATGATTAAAAAAAAGCCGCACATTGGAAACCGAAAGAGTGCAGATTAACCTAAAATATCCAAACAAAATGCTTACATATAAAGGGATAAGCTGCATATTCCTCCAGTACTCATGTGTAAAACATTATTACAGATAAGAACATACTTTAATGAACAACAATCATAGGTTTTATGAAGGACTATACTGATGGCGTTTGTCGCTGCTTGGTAATGTAGATTTTTTGTGTTTCTTCACAGTCTGAAAAGGTCAAGGGCACATGTACCAAGAGGCCTGGACATAAACTTAGCAATGTAATCAGTTACTGTAAATTCTTTATACAAAAGGGGATTTTCTTCTGATATTAGATCCTTGATCGGACCGTAGATCTTTGGTTGTGCAAAACTACCATTGAAGAAGCATGCCACTGACATTCTTGGTCCTACCCCGTTCACTATAACTCTATGATTTGCACTCACAAACTTGTCATTTGATAGGATCTGTGACAAAACCAAATTGAAATAAGTTGGACAATTTTGTCTAGAAGATAAACCAGACTAAGAAAAGTTTTTTTTTTTTCATTTTTCATTACAAACCTGAAGTGCTTCGCCAATATTAACAACCAATCCTTGTGAAACCGGTTTAACATCTATCCATTGGTTATTGTGCAGGACTTGAAGGCCACCAATTTGATCTTGAAGAAGAACAGTAAGGAAAGCAGGATCTGTATGGTTCGCAGCGCCAAGAGTTAGCTCTGGCTGTGGGCATGCTGGATAGTAATGGCATACTACTGATTTTCCTTTAGTACATTACATATCTTTCAAGTGATCTGGCTTTAGCCCGAGCGCTTCTGATAAAATGCTGAATATAGTTTCTCCTAGCTTTGTGACATGATTTATATACTCAACGATTATGTTCCTGGATATTAGAAAAACGATTTAAGATATAATATAGCCTAACATGTCAAAAAACTGTACTACCATTTGAAGATATAATTCAGTGAATAAAACACTACCCTTTCTAACAACTTGAGCTTTTTAGATAAGATGTTCACAAAATTCAATATGGTGCTAGAGTAGGTAAAGGCCCTGAGTTCAAATCTCATTGACACCTATTAGACAAGTAAAATTCACGTACACTTGAGGGGACGTGTTGAAGATATAATTAAGTGGATTAAGGTATACCCTCTCTAACAACTTAAGTTTTTAGATACGTAATCACACAATTATTGAAAAGTCTGTCCAAGCAACTGATCTAACTACTCCATGAAATATCAAAGACATGAAATTCAAGAACAGAAGGTCAAATATATACTTACCTGCAAACTGCTGGTATTTCTTCCGGTTCAATATGACTTGAATGTAGCAAAGAAATGTTCAATGTATCCCTCCAGTTTGCAGCTTTTGACTGATAAAGATCAAAGTTGCTCTCATATCTTACTCTTCTCGATTGGAAATCACGCGAATAGTACTCTTTCTTTACCTCAGCATCTTGTTCGTGAAATTTACGAATCCCATCAATCATTCCTTCCAATATTACACTTGAAGAAATCCCATGATTTATCAGTTGGAAAAATCCCCACTTCTCCGATGCGTCCCTTATTTCATCGACAACCTTCTTACGATGATCTTGAACTTCTATGCCACTGAAATCTATCACAGGACAATGTAGAGTGGACTTACCCTGAGTCAACTCTTCAACAAGTTCATCAGATGGCCTAATGAATATTCTTGGAATTTCCACAATTCCGGAATCAACTAATCCTTTAACACCGGCTTTTGTATCATCGAAAGCCTTTAACTCCTTCAATCGATCATATTCCATTGTTAATTCAGCTTGAGACTCTGCAATTCTGGACATATTTGTTCTTAATTTCAACAAGGGAAAGATTCTTGAGCAATTAATAAGTTAGTTAAAGTCAACTAGTGCTCATAAATAATGTGGTCCAATGTGAATCAATATTCAAAAGAAACATCAAACAACAACATATTTAGTGAAATCTCATCCGTGGAGTCTGGGGAGGGTAGAGTATACGCAGACCATACCTCTACCTCATGGTCATGGAGGTAAGGAGACGGTTTTTGGATGACCCTCCGCTCAAGTATAACATATCAGAAATAATAAAGAAAAAATGACAGTGGAGAAACAAAACAACTAATAAGGAAATAATAACAACCATAAAATAATACTCCTCCGTTCCTATTAAGTTGTCACCATTTTAGGTTTCAGGCTCCTTAAGAAAGTAGGTAAATTTATCATTGTATCATTATTTAGTGTTCCCTTGAAGTCAAATTTTCAATAAATGAACATGAAACAATTTATTTTGATTAATTAAATTGACCAATGAACATAAATAAATTACTTAGTTTTCCTAGATTGGTCAAATTTATATTTTTAAGGCTAGTAACTCTCAAGGGTAAAATAGAAAGAATAATTCATTTATGCATTGATTTTATAAAATGACAAATATAATGGAGTACAAAAAATATTTAAAAGAAACACTTCCTTTAATTATTAGTGTGAATGAATGAACTAGGTATCAAATATGACCCAAAAATTGATGGCCCCACAATCCATCCAATAAAATAATTTTGTATCCTAATTATCCCTCTGTTCCTATTTACTTGTCCATTTTTTACTTAACACATATTAAGAAAATAATAATTGATATAGTGAATTTACCATTTTATCCCTATTAATTCCAAAATCAATTTAAGGATCTACCTTTTTCAAAAATAAAAAACACAACTCTCTAAATAAATTGAGGATATAATAGGTAAAAAATATTATTTTTTCTTGATTTATCAAAAATGACAAATACAAAGGGATAAGTAAAAAATAAAAAATGAACAAGTAAAAAGGAATCGACAATAGAAGAATTCTTCTTAGACGGTAGATTACGAAAGAGAACGGCTATTAATTAATTAATAATCTTTATTATTGAAGGCTAATGGCAGCAACCAATTAGCAATGACTTTATGAGGGGAAAGCAAACAAGCAGATGAAGTTACTAAAATGTCACTGATCATCCTTTGCTTCACTATGTTATATACTTCATTCGTCCAATATATTATTTTTTAGATGTCCAACAATACTTGTTCACCTTATGAAATTAATGGATAATTTTACACTTAATTATTAATTTATCCTTATCATATCATTAATTATAGTCATTTCACTATTACATTTTTCAGGACATTGTATTTATTATATTCAAAGGGTGAGAAACTAAAATTATTCTTCTATTTATAGTTTCTTAAGAAATGTGTAAAGTCACTATTGTTGGACCGAGGGAGTAGAAAAATATTGAAGGAAAAAAAATAGGAAAAAGATAAATATGATATTTTAGCTAAAGAGATGTGTTACATCACTTACTTTGTGCCTAACTTTATTAGATAAATAGATACTCCATCCGTCCAACAATATTTGTCTACTATATTAAAAATAGATGTCCAACCATACTTGTACACTTTATAAAATTCATGGATAATTTTATACTTAGTTCCTAATTTATCCCTATCATTAATTATAGTAATTTCCCTAATACATTTTTCAAGACATTGTATTTATTATATTAAAAGAGTGATATAGTAAAATTACCCTTCTATTTATAGTTTCTTAAGGGATGTGCCAAGTTAATAGTGGACAACTATTGTTGGACTGAGGGAGTATTATCTAACATGATTATGAACATTAAACGAAAAATATTTGTGATTGAGAAAATTTGGAGCAAAAGTGTTTATTTCAATGTGATTTACTATAATTTTAGAAGTTCTTTCAATAAGCATTATTTTATTTTGTAATACAAATAAGTGTTACTTCAAAGGAGATTTCATTAGTTTAGTACTTAGTCATGATTTTTGTGGATGGAAATTTGTTAAAGTATTTGTCATGATCTTTTAGTATGGACTAATTTATAAGATAATCAATTTAATAAATTCATGATTGATATGTTTTTATATGCGTTTTGGGTGGACAAGTTAAATTGATAAAATCAAACTTCATTAGTCTTAAACTATAATATAAAATAAAATAAAAACTAGAAATGGCCGGCATATTCAATTAATATCCCAAAGGACCCACAATAATCTTTTAAAAATTGAAATTGAGATGACTATACATGTTTATTTGACTAATCGATTAATAATTATGAGGAATTAGTCATTGATTGTTGTGTTCTTACATCTTGATTGTTACGATAAATATCCAGAAGGAGCTTGTCTGCTGACCATTATCATCCCATTTTGGAACGCAGCCATCTTATTCATCGAACTAGCTAGAAGCTATCAATTCGGATTGAAATGGATTATGATCCATCGGTTGAGAAAAAGGCTATTGATGATACAAAAGCCGGTGTTAAAGGACTAGTTGATTCTGGAATAGTGGAGATTCCAAGAATTTTCATTAGGCCATCTCATGAACTTGCTGAGGAGTTGACTAGGTGCAAGTCAACTCTACAGATTCCGGTGGTGGATCTAAGTGGCATAGAAGTTGAAGGTGGACGTAAGAAGATTGTCGATGAAATAAGGGATGCATCTGAGAAATGGGGATTTTTTCAACTGATAAATCATGGAGTTCCTTCAAGTGTTTTGGAAGGAATGATTGATGGGACTCGTAAATTTCATGAACAAGATGTTGAAGTGAAGAAAGAGTACTATTCGTCTGATCCAACCCGAGGAGTTAGATTTGAGAGCAATCTTCAACTGTTGACAACAAAAGGAAGAAATGCAACCTGGAAGGATACATTATATATCTCTAAGCTAGTTTCTGAACCTGATGAAATACCAGAAGTTTGCAGGTAATTATGTATTTTCTGCACTTGATGTTCAGTTCTATGGGTGTGTTTGGTACAAAGGAAAATGTTTTCCAAGAAAATGTTTTCCTGGAAAATAAGTTGATTTTTGACTTCTTTTCTCATGTTTGGTTGGTGAGTAGAAAATATTTTTCGGAAAAGATTTTTAGTGTTTGATTTATGAATGATTTTTTTTTTTTTGAGAAATATCTTTTATTTTTACTAGGGTAGAAAATAATTTTTGAAATTGAAAATATTTTTTAAAAACAAACTTAAATTTTTTTGGGGGTGGGGTGGGGTGGGGGGGGGGGTAGCGGGTGGGTTGAGGGTAGGGATGAAAAATTGAAATTTTGAAGTTGAAAATATTTTTTAAAAACAAACTTAAATTTTTTTGGGGGGGCTGGGGGCTGGTAGGGGGTGGGTGGGAGGTCGAGGGTTGGGGTGAAAAAATAAAATTTTGAAGTTGAAAATATTTTTTTAAAAACAAACTTAAATTTTTTTTTGGGCGTGGTGGGGGGGGGGGGTGCTGGTAGGGCGTGGGTGGGGTGGTGGGGGTGCTGGTAGGGAGTGGGGCTGGGTAGGGGTGAAAAAAATGAAATTTTGAAATTGAAAATATTTTTTAAAAACAAACTTAATTTTTTTTGGGTGGGATGGGGGGGCTGGTAGGGGGTGGGTGGGTGGCGGGTCGAGGGTAGGGGTGAAAAAATGAAATTTTGAAATTTTGGGTTGGTTGGGGGGCTGGTTTGAGGGTAGGGACAAAATAAACTGATTTTTTCAACAAAAAAATAATTGTAGTTTGAAGTTGGAAGAGAGGTTTGGAAAATGTTTTCCTTAAGTTTTGAAGGGAAGTCATTTTCCTTAAATTTGAGGAAAATGAGTTGATTTGGAAAACATTTAACCCAACCAAACATGAGAAAATTGGAAAACATTTTCTGGAAAATGTTTTCCTTCATACCAAACACACCCTATATCTGTACTGTTTTACGCATACAGGGTGTTGAAGTTTTTGCATTAAATCTTGATATTTTCCTAATGTCCAGGAAAATATTGGTTGAGTACAAAAATCATGTCATAAAACTAGGGGACATTCTTCTTGGCTTACTATCAGAAGCTCTTGGGCTAAAACCTGACCACTTGAAAGCCGCGGATTGTAACAAAGGACTAATGTTGGCATGTCATTACTACCCGGCATGCCCACAGCCAGAGCTTACTCTTGGTACCGGTAAGCATACAGATCCTGTTTTCGTTACTATTCTGCTTCAAGATCAGAGTGGTGGGCTCCAAGTCATGCGTGATAACCAATGGGCTGATGTTGAACCGATTGAACATGGTTTGGTTATTAATATTGGTGACCTTCTTCAGGTTGGCAACAACACACAACTTTTTGTTCTTATTTGTTTACAAATTGTTACTCATCTCAATCTGATTTTGTAACAGATCGTATCAAATGACAAGTTTGTAAGTGCAATTCATAGAGTTGTAGCAAATAAGGTAGGACCAAGGATTTCAGTGGCAAGCTTCTTCACTGGATGTTCTACACCTCCGAAAATGTATGGGCCAATCAAAGAGCTCATATCTGATGAAAACCCCCCACTATATAAAGAATTTCTAGCAGCTGATTATACTGCTAAGTATTACTCCAAGCCTCTTGATACTCGTGATCTTTTCAGACTGTGAAGGGAGACCAAGCACCACATCGCCAAGAAGCAGCAAAAACCATCAGAAAAGATTGTAATCATTCAGATAGAACAATGTCAGAGTTTGTGATTCGCCGTACAATAATGTCATCTTTTTTGTTCTTCTGTTTATTTTCAAATAAAAAGGGATGAATATCATAAACATACTCCCTTATGTATCCTTCATTTTGTTCCTCTAATAATGTATGCACTATCATCATTCATCCCCTTTTAGAAAAATCGGATCAGTTCCGTAATATTTCAAGTGATCACTATTAACTGCTGTCTTAATTAGCCAAACAATCTATTTTCAGGATACGATTAGAAGTGATTTTATTGGTGAAATAGTGATATAGTTGAGTGACCTTGTAGGTGAAATGACAGTGGTTGAGTGAGTTTTATATTACAGAACAAAATTGAGTGACTTTCTGAGCTACAAACTGTTAGTTGAATGACGGTCTAAGAAGTTAACTCAAAGAAAATGGACCTTAGAAACTAACTCATGAGGTGATGATTGAGTAGGACCTTATAAGGAGATAAAAAGCTGATCGATCCTCCCTCAACGGCTCAACCAACACGAGACACTTGACAATAAGGTAAAGCGTAAAGAAGAATTCTGAAAGAAATAAATGGAATACATACCTGTAGAAGATCTCCAATTGTGGGTGGGGGTTTACAATTGTATGTATACCTCACATTTTTTACCATATAAACTTGCAAAATAATGAACCAAGATTATAATGAAGTGCCTTTTCGGAATATTCCAACTCATTCATTCATCATAAGGTATCAGAGTTTGTTAACTGTTAAGTTCTGAGAAGATGTTGAAACATATCTGTAAATCCTTTTGGACTATTTCTGCAATTTGAAAGGTGACAATAACGAAGTTCCATCGAGCCCTTTGTTGTATAGGTGCGTGACATACTCTTTTCTGCTTGTTTCCCGGTAGATTGGAGGGTTTTCGTCTGATAACAACTCCTTGATCGGACCATATAATCTCGATTCACTGCCTTCTTGAAAATGCATTCTGAAAAAACTTGCCACTGAAATTCTTGGTCCTACATTTTTCGCCAAAACTCTGTGAAGAACACTTTTGAACCTGTCATTTGTGATGAGCTGCAAAACCAAAAAAATGGAAACTAGTGAATTCATTAATCAAGTTCTTGACGTTTATGTAAAGAGTTTAAGTTATGTGCACAGACAACGTATACATTTCTTACACCTACAATAGTAGGTACATTTCATAGCAAGACTGACAAGGTTATAATAGCCTGAAAATCAAAGTAATAACCAGCTATAACAGTGCACTGCTAGTGCCAAATTTGTTTTCGATGTCAATATATATAACTTAAGTCCGTGTATTTATACATCAAGGTCATTTTTACAAATGTTTACTTGCCTGCATAAGATCTCCAATGTTCACTATTAGAGCTCCAGGTAAGAAAGGAACATCAACCCATTGATTTTTATGAAAGACTTGGAGGCCACCAATTTGATCCTGTAATACAATAGTCAAGAAGCCACTATCCGTGTGACCGCTAAGGCCTAAAGTCAGATCTGGTTCAGGGCATGCGGGATAATAATGGCCGGTGATGAACAACCCCTCGGCACATTCCATGTCTTTCAAGTGATCTGATTTGAGTTGTAGAGCCTCAGAGAGTAGCTCAAAGAGAGTGAGTCCCAGTTTCATGATGTACTTCGTGTATTCGATCAAAACTTCTCTGTAAAGTAAAAAAATGCACTCAGTAAAGCAGAGATGACATTGGAAAAATCTAAGCACATTTCAACATTAGCATGATGATAAGGAAACATATAACTAGTTTATAATTTGTTCCGAGTCAAATAAGCCTACTCAATACTCCCTCCGGTTCATATTACTTATCTTTTTAAGGCTTTTTGCACACCCCTTAAGAAATATAACGGAATTTTTTATAAACTACTCTTTGTCTCTCCCTTAACATTTTGTACCTGCAAACCTCGGGAATTTCTTCGGGATCAGGAGGATTAGGAGCCATGACACAGTAAAGGGTGTCCCTCCAATTAGCTGTTGGTGATTTGAGTAGATCAAAATTGCTATTGTAGGTGACCTTCCTCGTAACATCACGTGAGTAGAACTCTTTCTTCAGCTCAGAATCCTGCTCATGAAAATGGCGAACGCCTTTAAGTACTTTCTCCTTAACACTTGATGGGATTTCATGATGGACAATCTGGAAAAATCCCCAGTTTTCACAAGCATCCTTTATTTCTCGAACAATATCAGCTCGTTGAGCTGCACTATTTCCCAAGCCTTGAAAATCTACTACAGGAATGCTAAACTTACTAGTAACAACAGGGTCCAATTTCTTCTCACTCACATACTGGTTGTGTAAGAATATACGTGGTAACTTTGTGACACCGGCATCTAGTAGTCCTTTTACCCCCATCTTTGAATCATCAAAGGAATGCACTTCACTTTTTCTATCATATTCCGAACTGTCATCTTTCTCGATACTTTCATTTCTTGAGACAACCATTTTTCTCCTTCTAGAGGAAAACTCTGTTGTTGAGTATGAAATCAAGATTCTTTACAGACATAATAATAAAATGGGAACATAATAGGGGTACTTACACAATTGATATTATAATATAGTTTTTATGGAATCAGATTCCATCACAATGCAAAGCCAAGAAGCTCCAGGACAAAGGCAGGCATACTGTATTACAGACTACTTTGGAACTATAAGACTATAATAAGTTATGTCTTGTTCAAATAACAATAGAATTTTGAAATATTTTGTTACATTACTTTCTCTTTTAAAAAGACAGAAACATGAAGAGCACATGTTCGGTTGGTCAAAATTCTTCGGAAAATGATTTCCCTAGAAAGTAGGAAAAACAAGTTTCAGAAGTGGCATTTCACATTTGGAATATAAGGGGACATCATCAAAGACGGAGACACCTCAAACAAGCTAAAATGAAGATCATATCATTCGATCTAGAGACAACTCAGAAAGCTAAAAATATTGACAATGTATTACTCAAACATAAATTTCGACATTTATTTCATGTTCAAGCATCCGCTGTTCTAAATTTCATTAGATGAACAACACTTGAGGTATTTATTTAATTTCCAAAATACGCATGTATACGCAACAGGTACAAGAATTTTTATTGAACTCACAAGCTGAAGAACACAGCTCAGAGCTTGTCACTATTTCTGCAATTTGAAATATTGTGACAATAAAGACGTTCCCTCGAGCCCTTTGTTGTATAGATAAGCAACATACTCATTTCTGTTTGGTTCCCAGTACATTGGAGGGTTTTCCTCTGATAACAACTCCTTGATTGGCCCATATAGTCTGGATTCACTGCCTTCTTGAAATTGCATTCTGAAAAGACTTGCTACTGAAATTCTTGGTCCGACACTTTTAGCCAGCACTCGGTGAAGAACACTGTTGAACTTATCATTTGTGATTAACTACAAAACAGAATGCAAACTAATGAATTAATCAATCAAGTTTGTGACATTTACATAAGGCATAATACATATATTGGACCTTAAACTTGGCTTCAAATTTTAACTTTGACCTCCAACTTTTAAAGTGCACAAATAGACACTTTAACTATCCAACCTTTTAATAAATAAACACGCGTGTCTTACCTGGCAAAACGCGTGACGTGCACGCATTTTGCGCGAGTGAGAAGTAATTTTTAGGCACACAACAGTGAAAAAAATGCTGAAATGACAACTCTACCCTTAATTAATTTATTTTTTTTTAGTTCTAAAATGGACGTGTAAAGTGTTTAATTAGTTGGCAGCCATTGAGTGGCTCACTAATACACGTGGCAGCGATTGCATTTCACGCTCTTGGCTCCAAAAATCGCGTGTTTATTTATTAAAAGGTTGGATAGTTAAAGTGCTTGTTTGTACACTATGAAAGTTGGAGGTCAAAGTTAAAATTTGAAGTCAAGTTTAAGGTCAAATATATGTATTATCCTTTACATAAATACATAAAAGAATTTACAATTATGAACTTGCCTGCATTAAGTCTCCAATGTTAACTATTAGAGCTCCAGGCAAGAAAGGTACATCAACCCACTTATTTTCATGAAAGACTTGAAGGCCACCTATTTGATCTTGTAATAGAATAGTCAAGAATCCGCTATCTGTGTGGCCGCTAAGGCCTAAAGTGAATTCTGGTTCAGGGCATGCCGGATAATAATGGCCAGCTAAGAAAAGCCCCTCCGCACATTCTATGTCTTCCAAATGATTTGGGTTGAGTCCTAAAGCTTCAGAGAGTAGCTCATATAGAGTAAGCCCCAGTTTCATCACATACTCCGTATATTTGATCAAAACATCTCTGTAAAGTCAAAATATTGTGTTCATAAAAACTTAATGCAACTTCTTTTAGTGATACATATTAAAGGAACGAATATCATATATCAAATTAGAGCTAGGATAATAAATCTGAGATGAGGTCTGGAGAATTTAAGTTGACTACGGCGGGCGTACTAAGCTATTTAAGAAAGGTATATTAGTAGTAAGTATGATATGTACCTGCAAACCTCTGGAATTTCTTCGGGATCGGGAGGATTAGGAGCCATGACACAGTAAAGAGTGTCCCTCCAGTTAGCTGTTGATGCTTTGTGTAGATCATAATTGGTATTGTAGGTGAACTGCCTCGTAACATCACGGGAGTAGAATTGTTTCTTCACCTCAGGATCTTGCTCATGAAAATGACGAACGCCTTCTAGTACTTTCTCCATAACACTTATGGGATATCATGATGGATAATCTGGAAAAATCCCCAGTTTTCACTAGCATCCTTTATTTCTCGAACAATATCATTGCGTTGAGCTGCACTTTTTCCCAAACCTTCAAAATCTATGACTGGAATGCTCAGCTTAGTAACTGCATCGGAGTCTGATTTCTTTTCAATCACAGGCTGGTTGTTCAAGAATATACGCAGTAACTTGGTGATACCAGCATCCAGAAGTCCCTTTACACCAACCTTCGAATCATCAAAGGCTTGGACTTCACTTCTCCTATCATATTCAGAACTGTCAACTATCTGAGTTCTACTGTTATTCGAGCCAGCCATTTTACTTGCTCTAAAGGAAACCACAACATTTGACTATGGAAGCAAGATTAGGTATACTTACACATCATATACCTAACACTTACATGGCCAAACTTGTTCTCCTTAAACTAATGAAATGGTTTTGGATCTGTCTGAGATAACGATGCTACATCGTGTACTGAAGAGGAACTAATACTTATCCTCAACTTGCAGAGGACAAGGAAGAAATATAAGAAAATGAGATTAAAATAGTCTGGTTGTAGACTTCACTTTCAATTGCTCTCACATCTGCTACTTTTCAACCTCATTTGTTTATTTCAGATGGCAAGTGGAGCAGTTCTGTGTAACTCTTGTTAAAGACTAGATGAGTTCAATCTTTAAAATTATCGATTTGAAAGGTTACAACCTCCAAATGAACACATCAAAAAATTGAATCATTTCTTCAAATTAAAGAAGTCATTCCTTCATATTTCAGGAAATGATGGATAAACTGCTCATTTATATTTTCTAGTGCAATGATATTTGTTTGATTGCCATCGCATTGCTAACGCATAGAATATCAAATTATTCTGAGAAATCTCTAAATGTGTAGTATGAACATCGAAAACAACATTTCTAATGACCTTCAATTAACAAGCATGCATTAATAGGAGGACCAGAAAAAGCTACTTTAAATCACATTGGATGAAATAGCAGCATAAGAGATGTGTGTACAAAAGGTAAAAAATACTTAATCGAACTCACAAGCAGAAAACAGTAACCAAGAGGCAAAGAGTAAAACACTGAAAGATGATGAAACATTTCTGCCTTTCTGCAGATCCTACCACTATTTCTGTAATTTGAAATGTGACGATAAGGAAGTTCCATCAAGCCCTTTGCTGTATAGATATGTGACATACTCTTTTCTGCTTGTTTCCCGGTACATTGGGGGGCTTTCCTCTGATAACCCCTTGATTGGCCCATATAGTTCTGATCCACTGCCTTCTTGAAAACTCATTATGAAAAGACTAGCCACTGAAATTCTTGGTCCTGCATTTGTTGCCAGCACTCTGTGATGAACGCTTTTGAACTTATCGTTTGTGATTAGCTACAAAACAAAGTGGAAACAAATGAATTGATTGATCAAGTTTGTGACATTACATAAATGCATCAAGATCATTTTACAATATGAACTTGCCTGCATAAGGTCTCCAATGTTCACAATTAGAGCTCCAGGCAAGAAAGGAACATCAAACCACCGATTTTCATGAAAGACTTGGAGGCCACCAACTTGATCCTGTAATAATATAGTCAAGAATCCACCATCTGTGTGACTGCTAAGGCCTAAAGTGAGATCTGGTTCAGGGCATGTCGGATAATAATGGCCAGCGAGAACAAGCCCCTTGGCGCATTCCATGTCTTTCAAGTGATTTAGATTGAGTCCTAAGGCCTCAGAGAGTAACTCAAATAGAGTATCTCCCAGTTTCAACACATGTTCCGCATATTTGATCAGAACATCTCTGTAAAGTCAAAATATGTGTTCATATAAACTGATGAGAATTTTACTAATGAAGCATATTAGTTGAAAGACTACCATATCAAATTAGAGCTAGGATAATAAATTGAGATCAGAGCATGATTTATCTAAGCTAATTCAATACAATCACAAAGCATATCATTATGTTTATGAGCTATAGCTGCCTAAGGAAAGACTGATATTAGTATCATGTTTTATACCTGCAAACCTCAGCCATTTCTCTGAGATCCGGAGGATAAGGAGCAACGACACAGGAAAGGGTGTCCCTCCAATTAGCTACTCGTGTTTTATGTAGATCAAAATTGCTATTATAGCTGAACTTCCTCGTAACATCACGGGAGTAAAACTCTTTCTTCACCTCAGAATCCTGCTCATGAAAATGGCGAACGCCTTCTATTACTTTTTCCATGATAATTGATGGGATTTCATGGTGGACAACCTGAAAAAATCCCCACTTTTCACAAGCATCCTTTATTCCTCGTACGATATCAGCCCGTTGAGCTGCACTCTTGCCCAAGCCTTCAAAATCTATGACTGGAATGCTAAACTTTGTAACTATCTCGGAGTCCGATTTCATTTCAGCTACATACTGGTTGTGCAAGAATATACGCGGTAACCTTGTGACACCACCATCCACAAGTCCCTTTACACCAGCCTTTGAATCATCAAAGGCTTGAACTTCTCTCTCCCTATCATATTCCGAACTATCATATTGTTCAGTTCTTCCATTATTTAGGCCAATCATATCTTTCTTTAGAGAAAAAAAAAACACAACTCTTGACTATGCAATGCAAGATGTCTTATGAAACATCACAGATATAACAAGGGTGCTTATCATCATATCATATATCATCATCATATCATATATTATTATAAGTGGGAGGCTCAATTTTCAAAGTTGAATTACTCTTTTACCCTTTTACTAAATAAAAATATCTAATCTAATTAGTAGCAATATTTAAATTGTTACACAATTACTGCACCCTAATGTAATAAATAAAATATCTACTCTAATTAAATAGGAGTAATATTTTAATTATCACACAATTACAGCAGCCTATATTCAATGTCTTGGAATTGCTAGTTTTTTCATCTTCCTAAAATTGTCCTCTATTCAATATTTTGGTTTCGTTTCAACTTCCTTAACTTATTTTTCAATTTTTATACCAATTTAATGTCTTGGTATGCTACTTTAACATGCATTGAATCAAATCAAAATGACCCTTTTGAATTTACGCAATAAGCCTCTTCGTTGCTAAATAAATAGAAGAATTGGAAGAGTTGCATTGAGTAATTAAATGTAGACTAATTATTAACTAGGAATAATAAATATATGAATAAAAAAGTTCAAGGAATGCGCATCAGAAAAGATCTATAAAAAGGCAAAATTATATGAATAATTAAATTTAAATTATTACAAAATATTTTGTTGGTTCGTTTTGCCACTATTTCATGAATATATACATTTAAGTCACCTTCTTATGGGATATTTTGTACCCCTATCTACACACTACTTTTTCAGAATATTTTTATACTATCAACCAAATAATACATTTACCTTTAAATAATAAATCAATAAATTGTGAAACATTAATGTGAAGTTAATGAATCTGTCTAGCCCTTAGTGTAGTTTATCTTTTACTATATAATTATATGCACTTATCCCATTAATTTTAAATTTGTTAATTCTTTTAATTTTCATCCATTAGAAAATTTTTCATGTGCTCTATTAAGTTTTATATAATACACATAATATTTTTGGAAAAAGTATAGGATGCAGTTCCAATTGATTTGCACAGTAATTTAGGTAACTGTATTGTTATTCAAATTATATCATATAATTGAAAGCTAGAGATTCTTCTAGCCGATTGCAGATTTGAGGCAACAATAAGTGAAGCAGTTCTTGTCAAAGAACCATTTCGTGGTAGTTTACCTCCCAGGTGATGTTGATTAATTAGTTAAAATTATTATCTTTATGTTGTTAATCTTTAATTTGTGTTACACTTCAATATGTAATTGCATGGACTACTATAGGAAAAAAGTGTTATGTATGAGATTATATACTTTAGAGGTTTAATCCAAAATTTGAAGTTATTTGTCTAATGTGGTGTTGTAATGCATGAAACACATTGATTTTAATAGCTTGTCATGTTACATTTGATATTATATATATACAATTTTACTAATTATTTATGTTAAATTCAAAGATGAAATGACTTAGAAGTGTAAATCAGACAAAAGGTAATCTTCCCTTTCAAAATTCATATAACTCATTGCACATTTAATCTAATATTATTATTTTTAAATTACTTCGAGAACTAGTATATTATTATAAGTGGGAAGCTCCAAAGTTCAAAATTGGATTACCATTTTGCCCTTAGATTAAAACAAAATATTATAAAGTATAATATTAATTAAATATTAAAAAATAATCCTATCATATTAGTAACGAGTCTAAGTTCAAATAATCTGACATTTGGAGAAAATGAAAAGTCTATTACAGAATCTCAAGAGCAGTTACAATGAAACTCTTCAACTTTTGCTTTTCGTCTCTTTCAAAGTAGGTTCTTATTATTTTTGGTGTGGATTTGTTTTGCCGAGTTATTGCTAATTGCTTTTAGTGATATCCTCTACTGTTCCTTTTTCATGATATTGATCAATTGCCAAATAATTGCAAGAGGTTTACTGTTAACCAACTTCTCCGCCTTGATGCTCAAATTGAGGGATAACGTGCAACGCACGTTCCTCAAAACTAGTATATTATAAGAGAGTTAATATTTTTCCTATTAACTTTTCTGCAACAAGATTCGATCGCAATGCAAAGCCAAGACATTACAGGACAAAGGGAAATATACAAATAATAATTCAAGACTTTTTCTCTTTTGACTTAGTTCACATAATTTTTTGACACTAATTGTATTTTGTTATATTCTGTTCAACTTGTAGCAGAGAAACTAATAGCTACTCTCCAATTGCAGAGGACAAGGAGGAAATATAAAAAAAAGGCGATCAACAAGAAACAGAATCATTTTCCAAATAAAACTAAACATATGTAGCTCAAGGAAACGGAGTTTATTCTCTTGACAAACTTAAGCCATGTAGCTTATGAAATATATTACTCCCTCCGTTTCAATTTTCTCTCTTGACACGAAGCTTAAAGAAAGAAAAGTAGACTTTTGAATCTAAAGATATGTATCAAAAACGTCCTTTAATCTTGTGGTCTTAATCATGTCATATGAAAAGTTAGAACTTTGCCAAAAAAGAAAAGAGACATTTTTTAAACGGATTATTATTAAAAAGGAAAGTAGGACAAACAAATTGAAATGGAAGGAGTAATAAAATAATAAGAAAAAAAAGATCTACTGCTAGAATATTTCATGAAGAAGAATTTGCTCTACTGATAACTTTTCCATATATGAAGCTTAAGCATAAGAATTATCTTACTATAGAAATATCACAAGATAGATCCTCTCATCCTACTTTCCAATGTGTTATTACATAGCTATGGCTGGATCTTGTAATGCAACAATGCAGAAGTTCCATCTAGACCTTTCTCGCGGAAGTAATCAGCATAGTCTATCACTGTGGTTGTGCGATATTTTGGAGGATTATCATCTGACAACAACTCCTTAATTGGTCCATAAAGTTTGGTAGTAGGCAATGAACCAGTGTAGAAGAAGCAAGCTACTGATATTCTTGGTCCAACTTGATTTGACAATACTCTGTGCTCAACACTTACGTACTTGTCATTTGATATGAGCTGAAAAATCAAAAACCAGAATAAGAACAATTGGTCTTACTAGCAAACAAAGTTTCATATTAATTTTTCGGAAAAAGTTTCAAATATACTCCTCCCTCTGTATGAAATATATTAATTTTACCCTCAGTTTTACCTTTGGGCCATTCATATCATTGCCATTAGCAAATCGTAATCGCCTTTGCCCTTGACTTTAACAAAGCTCCAGTGTGGATAGGTGGATGTGTAGATTTAAGTTTAGAAAATGAAAAAGAATACTAACCTGCAGAAGATCTCCAATATTCACCACAAGAGCACCAGGTGTAGGAGGAACATCAATCCACTGAGTTTTGTGAAGTACTTGGAGTCCTCCGATTTGATCTTGTAGAAGCACTGTGATAAAATCATTATCAGAATGTTTGTTGGTGCCTATAGTGAGTTCTGGCTGAGGGCAGGCTGGATAATAATGTCCCAAAACGCGGAGCCCCTCCGAGCAATCAATATTATTGAGATGAGATGGATCAAGACCTAGACCCTCCGACAATAATTCAAACAAGGATTTTCCCAATGTCATGACATGATTAGAGAACTCCATTAGTATTTCCCTGCAGCAATTACAATAAAATTGATGAAACATGACATATCAAGAACTGAAAAAAAAAAAAAAAAAAAAAATAACATACCTGCATGCTATTGGCAATTCCTCTGGACTAGGATGATTCGGAGCCATTAAACAGAAAATTGAGTCTCTCCAATTTGTAGCCGGAACAGAAGGGCTATACAAATCAAAATTACTAACGTGAACCACTTTTTTGGTATTATCTCGAGTGTAATATTGTTTCTTAATATCAACATCTTGCTCAAAGAATCGTCGTGTTCCTTGCAACATTTCTTCCATGACAGATAATGGAATGCCATGATTAACCACTTGGAAGAAACCCCATGTCTCCGATGCATCTCGAACTTTGTCCACAATCTGTTTATGCTTTATTGGATCTTTATCAATGCCTTCAAGATCTATCACTGGAAAAATGAACTTTGTTTCACAACTACTTACACATTCCTCTATTTTAGTTGGCTGAACGTATATACGAGGCACTTCAGTTATTCCAGCATCAACAATTCCTTTGACACCAGCTTTAGTATCATCAAAGGCTTTTAACTCACTCATTCTATCATAACTTCCCCGAATTCTGGCCTCAAAATCATCTGTGCTAAGGACTTCCATCTTTTTTTGCTCTGATATTTTAATAAACTAGAGCTCTTCGGGATCGTAACTTTGATGAAAAATACTTCAATAGTTGAGAGGATATTTCAAATCTTACCTCAAAATGGTAAGATTTGATTTAAGAGCCATGTGAACAGTCAAGCATAGTTTATTGTAAACTAGAAACTAATCCATAGTTTTATAAAAACAAGGAGTCCTCATTTTTATAGTTTAAGATTTACATTGTACAATCACATGACATAGTCATTTTTTGATAAAAACGAGTTGTCCTTGTTTTATTAAGAAAATTAATTTAGACTGGTTTTAAAGATTCACCACTTAATTTTTAAAGAAAAATCAAGAAAACTATTTTTTCCCAAAAGATTAAAACATGAATCTAATGAAAATATTAAGGGGATTCGAGGTTCATATTAGCATTTCGGGAAGGGTTTGAAAGCACCCGAAATGCCCGCTAACATGCGGTTATCCGACAATTAAAATATTTGGCTAAATGATTTTAAGAAAATACACATACTTGAATAAATAATGTAAACAACTTTTGAACTCATACAATAAGCATCAAGTTAATACAATTGGACCAACAAGCCAATCCTAAATTTGTATATAATTGAAACTAAGCAAGGAACATAAACATAATACCAAAGATGTAATACAAACTCTTTTGAAGCATATTATGCTAATCTAAATCAAGATTTTACTATCTGGCAACAAAACAACAGAAGCAGTATCTAAAATTCCTGGACAAGAACACAATCAAGCTAGACCCAGAAAAACATATAGACTCCATATTAACTAGCTTTTAGACTTTGCTTTTATTTTGAGACAAAAACAGCAAAAAGAAAAAACAGTAGCAAAAATGAAAGAAACTTCCAACTTGACGACGATGTAAACGAGAGAATAGAGATTCGATGATATTGAATCAGACAACGGGAATAAAAGAAATGACAAAAAAGTAGACTCAACCCAATGAACAAAGAGACCACCTACTATTAAATACAAAACAACAAGACTTGAAACACCACTAAGATCGAATCAACTCGAGAACAGGATGTATAGCATATTAAGACTACCCATTTTCAACTACAAATAAGAATGATACAACAACACATTTTAGCTAGACATGGAAGACATCTAATAATGGAAAGTAAATAAAATAGGCAGAAGCCATCGATATCGATTAAGAAACTATTAGGAAGGCAAGAGATGTAACACGCCCATAGTGAACGAAACAGAGAAGAAATAACATATTTCAGCCGCTGGAAATGTAAATAAACTGCTAACTAAACACACAAGGGAGTGCAACACAAATCTCACGCTAAAGAAGACAGAGCAAAGGGAAGAGGAAAGAAGATTACCTTTAACGGTGCAGCGAACAGGAAAATGAGCTGAATGAGAACGAGTTTTCACCACCAAGACCCGACTCCGAGGATTCCGATGAACTCGTTCAGAAAAGAAAACAAAACCTAAACACTCCGTAATGTTTTGTGGACCTTTTGGTCTATTTTCGCCTCAAAGAAACCTATGTCTTTCACTGATGCTTTCCTTTGTAATGACTCAAAAAAATTCAACTCCCCCCCCCCCCCCCCAACTTAACCATGAAGAACAAGAGAGTATTTACAGGGAAATAACTAGGTCGAATTTGGGGGGAATTCGGGAGGGAGAATGGGTGAACTTTTCCAATTCGAAATTCAAAATTCAAAAGCCCCTCCAGAGATAAGGCTGGAAAGCTTCCACTAGTACTAATTTCAACAAATTACAATGAATTGTTGAGGAGAGCCGTTCGATTTTGGAGTGCTCGAGGAAGGAGATTGCTCCACCTAGCACTGCTCACGTATGAAGTTTGAGGGAGAGAGGGAGAAAACGACTCAGCTGAGTCGAGCCACGCGATTCTGGGTTGTTCGCGAGTGAGCTGGGCTGCTGGTTCGCGACTTGGATGCTGGATTTGCAGATGGGTCGCGTTCTGCTGGAGAAGAAGAAGAGGACGCATGGGTGGGGGTACTGTTTTTGGTACGCTGTATTGTTGTTTGTGTATTGTATGTTGGGCTGGGAATTGTTAATGGAAACGGGCTGGATTATTTAGTGGGCTGCTGAGATTGGGTTGTCTGAAAATATATCAAAAGGGTCCAAAACTTGTTCTTTTGATGGATTTAAGATGTTAGCGGAAAATTGTAATTAAACAATGACCAAATTCAGTTAAAACTTGAACAAAATGAATTAACATAAATTAATTAATGAGTCTTTTAATCTTAACGAAATAAAATAATAAACTTAATTATAAACTAATTAATTTAAAAATATAAACTATTATGTAACTAAACTAACTAACCAAATATTTAATTAAAACAAAATATTTTTTAGACGATTTTCGAATAATCATAAAATATACTAATTATATACATAATTATGAAAGACATATATATTATCTAAAAATTATAAAAAGTGACTAAACTAGTTAAAATAACTTGCAAACTATATTATTATTATTTTTTTGAAATTTTATAAAACTAATTATTTTAAATCGTTTTAGATTGAAGAAGCTCGAAATGAGTAATTTATATTGTGGAGGTCCAAAATTGGGTGCCAACAGTCCTAATTATCATAGTTTAAGACTTAGTCTGCACACAATCACATGTACAGTAGAGTATTTTTTTGTTAAAGCTCAAAATTATAAAGAATTGAACATGTGCAACCTCAACAGAGGCGAAGCTAGGATTTTAACTTTATGAGCTTTGAATTTTACCATGGCAACTTTTTAAAGTAACAATAACTAAGTTCTAGATTAATATTTGTATATATTTAATGAATTTATTAACACAAATACACTATATGCTAATCAATAAGATTAATGAAGTAGAAATCAATTGGAAAGTTTGGAGTACATTATATTCTAATTCAAACGATCTAACGTAAGTTTCTTTTTTTTTTAAATTTCTATCTTACCTTTAAACAAAAAGTGATAAAATATAGCTAGACATAATTTCAAAAAAGTGATAAAGAATTTGTAATAATTATCATAAGATACACATACAACACACATGTTTAAAGACTAGTTAAATAAGTAGCAAAGGAAAAATGAGAAGAAAAAAGAAGGTAATGGATAATGACGTGAACACACCAAATTTTTTGTTATGTTACATAAAATGGGACATTTGGTCATCATATAACGATGGATTACACAACACAATACAACAAAGCTTAAGTAACAATACAAACAAACATTGTATTTAAAGTAACAATATGATACAATACAATAGGTAATAACCATCCAAACAAGCATCGAAAGTAAAGTTCTCAGTTCTTATCATAAATTGAATTGTTACATTAGGATTAGATCCTGTAACGTGACAATGTAGAAGTTCCATCTAGGCCTTTTTTACGGAAGTAGTCACGGTAGTCTTTCACTGTGGTTGCGCGATATTTTGGAGGATTATCTTCCGATAACAATTCAGTAATCGGTCCATAAAGCTTGGAAGATGGCATTGAACCTGTGTAGAAGAAGCATGCCACTGATATTCTTGGTCCAACTTTATTTGCCATTACTCTGTGCTCAACACTTATGTACTTGTCATTTGATATAAGCTGAAAAAAAGCAACAAAAAAATTAAGCAAATGATATCAGTGCCTCTTATTGATCGTAGTCGTATATGGTATAGAAAAACAAAGAATACTAGCCTGCAGAAGATCTCCGATGTTCACAACAAGCGCACCAGGTGTAGGAGGAACATTAACCCACTGATTCTGATGAAGCACTTGAAGTCCTCCGATATGATCTTGTAGAAGTACGGTGATAAAATCATTATCAGAGTGTTTGTTGGTACCTATCGCGAGTTCTGGCTGAGGGGTCCTCAGCACTTTGTCCACAATCTCTTTATGCTTGATGGGGTCCTCGTCGATGCCTTCAAGATCTATCACAGGGAAAATGAATTGTGTTTCATTTGTATCCGAAAACTCCGGCCTGTTTTTTGGTGGTAGAATGAATATTTGAGGTATTTTAGTGATGCCAGCATCAACAAGCCCTTTGACACCAGCCTTAGTATCATCAAAGGCTTTTAATTCACTCATTTTGTCATAACTTTTCTCAACTGTGACCTGAAAATCATCAGTGCGAGAGAGTACCATCTTCTTTGTTAGAATGTTATGAACAAGAGTTACTGAGGCCACTTAGTACCTAATGGACATGACATTATCATATTTTTATATTAAAAGTGGGAAGGTACAACGTAAAAAAGTTGAAAGACCAAAATGTCCGTATAAAATTGAATGACCATTTTACCCTTCAATCAAACACTACTACTATTAACAGTTTTGTACAAAAAAGTAGATACATTATAGATACTTATGAAAGACCCCAGATAATTATGCGTCTAAATACAGATAATCTGAAATTAGGAGTAAATGAAGATACTACTGTTACAACCTCATCATTATGTTTGAATTTTTAAGAGACCACATCCATGTTTTCATCATCTTTTTCATGTGGAAAATGAAGTGCTTAATCATAAGGTGCATATTCTGTCCATTTCTCATGGCCTGATAATGTAGTTAATTTGCCTTCTCATTTGCTTGAAATTATTTAGGCATAATACATATATTGGCTCCTAAACTTGGCTTCAAATTTTAACTTTGACCTCCAACTTTCATAATGCACAAATAGGCACTTTAACTATCCTACCTTTAAATAAATAAACACGCGATTTTCGGAGCCAAAAGCGTGAAATGCAAACGCTCCCACGTGTATTAGTGACCCACTCAATGGCTGCCAACTAATTCAATGCATGTGGGCCCATTTTCCTGTCTATTTGACACCTTTTCAATTTGCCATGCATTTATTTCAATCTCTTTTAATGGATATGGACCCCACCTCACTAATTCCATTCCCTTCTCTTTATTTCTGCCTCACAACTTCTTCCTTCACTTTCATTTTGTGGTAAATTAATATTTGAAAATGTCAATTATTCAATTTATAATTTATTTGTCTTATTTCTTTTTTTAATTTATGTGTATTCAAAGATTACATTTAAGATACTATAAATTATTAGACTTAATATTTTAAAAAAATTATTACAAATTTGAATTACGTAATATACACTATTAATTACAATAATTACTAATTTAAAATATTTTTTCAATCTAATAAGAGCCTACAAACACACTATACGTTATATTTAAAAGTACTATAAATCATAATTAAAATATAATTTTTTTAGAAAATTTTTTGTTGACTCTTGAAATTCTATTGGTGACACATGAATTTGAATAGATGGAACAATATATATTATTGAAAGTTAACAATACTATAAGTTATTCGAAAATGACGTTAATGATTTTTATAAATTATAACAAATTAGCAACTAAAATATTTTTGAAAAAACATACAAAAAATTAGTTGATGAATCAGCCACCACACCGTGGACATGTATGCTTTCTGTGATTAAAATTGAGTTTAAGGGTTATTTTGGTCATTTAAGGATTTTTCTTTAAACTTCAAGCTTTATTAATAGTGATGTATTCATTTTAGAGTTAACATGAACGTTTACTACTATATAAATATATATAATTTATTCAAATTTAAAACTATTTATTTAACGTCAGTTAAAAATTAACTTTTAAATTAATTATTAGCACGGGCTCTTCATCACTAGTATATAATATAATAAGCGGGAATAGAGAGGACCTTGGGGTCGACACGTGTTCCTTTTTCCTTCTGGACAAAAAAAGACTATACAGGCAGGAGGTCAACCTGTAAAAAAAAAGGGGGACCCATATTTTACTATTGAAGGATGCGTGTTTCTTTTAAATTTCTTTTACCATACTAAATAATTGTATAAAATATTATAAATCACGATAATTAATTACTTAAATATTTAAAAGATATAAAAATATATAAAAGATCTGATTGACTCTTCAAATTTTACCGGTGACGCATAAATTCGGACAAATGAAATAATATATATTATTTGAAAATTTCTTAGAAAGTACTATAAATTACAGTAATTAACAGCTAGAAATATTTCAAAGACAAAAAAATTGATTGAATCTCAAAAAAAAAAATTAGTACTACACGTGTTCCTTTTTCCTTCTTGCCAAAAAAAAACTTCATTATAATTTTTTTTCGTAATAACAAAATTTTTTATTAAATGTCACTTGCATTTTGCAGTGAACAACAAATAATGCAAAAAAGAGGGGAAAATTGTTGAAAAAAATATAAAAAGGGTTTAATTGTCCTTTCAATGCTTTTTTTACTGTTGACCCCCTGGATTTTTACATCTGACGCGCCTAATTTGAGTGTATTTCACGCATTTTGCTAGGTAGGATCCGAGTGTTTTTTTGTTTAAGTTTTGGATAGTTAAAGTGCCTATTTGTGCACTTACAAAGTTAAAGGTCAAAGTTATAATTTAAAGCCAAGTTAAATGTCCAATTTATGTATTACCCCAATTATTTATTTATTTGTTGTACTCTCTGCGGGTGCTAATAGAAAAAATGATTACTGAGTTGATTGATAATTTTCAGAATAGTGAATGTCACTTACTTGTGGTCCGGCCCTTCTCAGGAACCCGTGCATAGCAGGATCTTAGTGCATCGAGGCTGTCCTTTTTTACTCAGGTTTCCTCTTTTAGCGTTCAATGAGCCATTAAATTAGACTTTTGGACAATGGTTAGAGTTATTGTCAATGAGCAATTATCATACATGCATCTTAGCATTAATTTCCTAGATGAACACATATCAACAAACTAGATATTTGATTACTTTTTGAACAAGAGCCACTAATTTAGACTTTTGGACCACAATTGTCACCGTCAACGGTTCATACCAACAAACTAGATATTTGAAGCAGAAGAAAACAAAAGAAATGAGTTAATTATTTTTAGTCCCTTTCTTTGGTCACTGTCTGAATCCACTGCCACTCCCCCCCCCCCCCTTCCCACCACCACCACTGAAAAAAAAAATGTGGATATCAGATGAGTCTTCTCTTTGTGTTTGAACTTACTCTGTGTCTGCTCTTTGTGTCTCAACATGTTCCAGGCACTCTTAACTTTGAATTTCCCTGTGCTTGTAGTCATCCTCCATGGTCTATCCAATGGATACTATATGATGTAATACTCCCCGCTTTGTCGAATTTTCATACCATACATTTGAAGTTCCTCCTTATATTTTCCACCATATCTCATGTTCCACAACTTCTCTAACTTCTAACATCTTTTTCCGAACTTGTGATTAACCCTTTCACTATTTTAAGGTAGGAATTACCTTTCTACAGTACTTATTCCATATATAGTTTGGACCATAAAGTTATTTGCATTAGTTATACATCGGAAGAAAAAGTGTACGAAACAAGACAACTTTACCTACCACTTAGGAGGAGCAAGTACTAATAAGAGATGAATTGACATACTTTGTAAGACACTTTTAATCAAGGAGCTACGTACATTTTTATGCATGATACAGGAGTTCTCCTTGTTGATTAACTGTCCTGATGTCTGCTCAAATCTTCTCAAAACTATCATTACGCTCTTTAGGGACTCAGTGTCAACAGAAGTAAAAATAACGGTATCATCAGCATAAGCCAAATGGTTCAGTGGATTACAAGGGTCAGCTTGAACATTTACCCACAATTTAGACGAGATGATTACAAACAGATGGCTAGGACTGAGATGCAGACCCTTTGACATGAGTCTGAATTCATTAGAAGGGTAATTTTTAGACAAGAGGAAGGGAGAAAATAACATTTTGTAAGTATGAAATACATTCTATCAGTCATAAACCTTCTGCGCCACACTATAGTGTGAGTCTTATCAGTCACGAGTACGATGTTGCAAAAATCATAATAGTTCATGTTTCAACATCTATGAAACTTCAGCTTAAGATACATTCAATTGCTACATTACTATGATGAGATATTGAAATGCAAGATGTTGAGGATTTCTCAAGATGAGGAAATACAAGAGGAAGAGAACATTTAGATATTTGGTCATACCTAAATAGTGGTTAGAGTACTTATTGTCGATGAGACACGCTGGCATGCACACGTCTTAGAATAAATTACCTAAGACATGAACTAGGTAAATTCATGTACTAGGAAAGAATCTAGTTTACTTTTTCAAAACAAGAGCCACTAATTTAGACCACAATAGTCACCATCAACAGTTCATACCAACTAACTATCTATTTGAAGCCTAATAAATCACAAGAAAGGAGTTAATCATTTTTAATGCCTTAAAGGATAAAGATACCAGATAATACCAAGAATCGTCATATGGTAACATGCTGAACTGATCAATTGAGAATAGAAATAGAGGAACTCCAGAATCTTTTTATTAAAACAAAGTATATGAAAAGCTGCAAGTATATTAGCAATCATCCATGGCTAGTATATAGAAAGTGTAACAGATAGAAATTTTATCAGAAATATTTCAAGTACTGAACTATGTGTAAATTAGAAATGCATTTATCAACATTTATGGAACATTAATCACAGCATGTTTTATTTGATAATTGTATATCACAAGTTCAATTCTTTATTCGAATATGCATTTTGCTATGAATTTCTCCATTTCTACGACAGGAACTTGTAATGCAGCAATGCAAGAGTTCTGCCAAGGCCTTTCTCGTGAAAGGATGTTTGTTCACTGTGGTCACACATACACACACGTCACTCTATATTACGAAGAAATAAAAGCCAGACAGATAGAACAAAAAGGAATTATTTGATCCAAAGCTACATGTGGTAATTGACAATCATTTATTTGCTAACACGAATAGAAACTATAACAGACATAAAACTTTGTCAGACTGATCAGTCACGAGGACGATCTTGCAAAGATCATACTAGTTCATATTTCAACACCTTAACTTGGTTTAAGTTGGCATGTAAACACCCCAAGTTTGAGAATGCACCTCCTTAAAGGTGTCTAGATGTGTATTTTCAAAGTTAAAGGTGTTCGCAAGACGCACCAGTCGCACTGAAAGTTTGGGCGTTCAATTGCCAGTGGAGGCCAAGTTAAAGTGTCCATCTATATATTAATTATGCCTTTCAACATCTATGAAGCTTCAGCAACATACACCAAAAGTTAAATTCTCGGTATACTCATCATACATTCAACTGCTATACTACTATGTTAGATCTTCAAATGCAACAATGCAGAAGTTCCATCTAAACCCTTTTTACGGAAGTAATCACTGAAGGCTTTCACTGTGGTTGCACAATACTTCGGAGGATTATCTTCTGACAACAATTCAGCAATTGGTCCATACAACTTGGAAGATGGTAATGGACCTGTACTGAAGAAGCATGCAACTGATATTCTTGGTCCAACTTTATTTGACAATACTCTGTGCTCAACACTCAAGTACTTATCATTTGATATAAGCTGAAAATGCAGCAAAAATAAGCATATTTGGTTTCAGTATCGAAAAAAGGTGTTATGTTCATTCTTACCGATTAGGAAATGAAAAAGAATACTAGCCTGCAGAAGATCTCCAATGTTTACCACAATAGCACCAGGTGTAGGAGGAACATCAACCCACTGATTCTGGTGAAGCACTTGGAGTCCTCCGATATCATCTTGTAGAAGCACTGTGATAAAATCATTGTCAGAATGTTTATTGGTGCCTATGGTAAGTTCTGGCTGAGGGCATGGTGGATAGTAATGGCCCACAACACCGAGCCCCTCTGCGCAATCCATATCTTCAAGATGACAACGATCAAGACCGAGACCTTCTGACAATAATCCAAGCAAGGAACAGCCCAGTTCCATCACATGCTTAGAGTAGTCCATTAGTATTCCTCTGCAGCAATTTCATAAAATTAATGAAACAGTACTTATTAATATTTAAAAGAGAAATGCTATGCTTTGATTGGCTCTCAGGGACCAGACTTCTAGTTAAATTTTCTAATACAGTATCCATCAAAACTTGCAACAAGCTATTTGCAAGGAAACAAATAACTATGACAGCATTTTCATGGTTTATTCTTGAGTTTTATCACAATATAATACATATTCAATTATTAGGTAAATAAATGAAATTGGTTGTTCGCTTATTCATATTCAGAACACATACCTACATGGTCTTGGAAATTCTTCTGGACTGGGAGGATTGGGAGCCATTGAAAAGAACAAGGAGTCTCTCCAATTTGCAGCTGGAACAGAAGGGCTATACAAATCAAAATTGCTAGTGTGAACCACCTTTTTCGTGATATCTCGAGTGTAATACTGTTTCTTAACCTCGATATCTTGCTCAAAAAACTCACGTGTTCCTTGCAGCATTGCTTCCAGGACAGATGTTGGAATTCCATGATTTACCACTTGGAAGAAACCCCATGTCTCCGATGCATCTCTAACTTTGTCCACAATCTCTTTATGCTTGATTGGGTCCTCGTCAATACCTTCAAGGTCTATCACTGGGAAAATGAACTGTTTTTCACTTGTACCTAAGGACTCTGGCCTGTTTTTTGGTGGTAGAATGAATATTTGAGGTACTTTAGTGATTCCAGCATCAACAAGCCCTTTGACACCAGCCTTAGTATCATCAAAGGCTTTTAACTCACTCATTTTGTCATAACTTTTTTGAACTGTGGCCTGAAAATCATCAGTGCTAGAGACTACCATCTTCTTTGCTAGGATGTTATAAACAATAGAGTTCCTAATGTTCTTAGAACTTAATGGGCCGCACACGATATTATAAATACTACTCTCTATGCAAAGCACTATCTTCCTATCCACAAAAAAGAAGAGGCCATAAACAAGTAGACCTTAATGATAAGCTTTAACTTGTTTTAGTCCCTTTCACTGGTCATTGTCTGAACCCACTGTCACTTTTCACCACACACATATCCCAAAAATAGAAGGTAGACAACCAGAACAAAACAAAGCATTCATCATTCTTATATAATCGTGTTAAAAAAAAATTAGCTGTAGGAATAATATCCACGACAAATAACAAGAACAAGAGAGTAACAAGGCACCAAGTCCTTTTAGCGCGGAAAACATAATACCCGAGTCGAGCAACATAATGCCACTATAGTGAGAAATTGAATACTTTGTAATCTCAAAAGACTACTACAAATTTAAAAGAATTGACCTTCTTTTATTCCTCACACCTTTCTAAAATACTACTCTCCCATTCTATTTTTTCTCACAGACTATTTTCTTACATTGTATATGCGGATTACTCTCTTGGTCAATATTGATTCTCACTACCTTTTCAGTGTGTTTTGAAGTGAAAGAACTCCTTGGAAAAAAATTAAAGCCCAAGTACATACAAGAAAATGGACTACATAGAGTTTCCATCACATATTGGTCCTTTGGCCTCAAGCAAAATATTGGCAGCCAAGTCTTCTATGCAAATAGGCTTATGCCTATATATGGGTATAGACCCCAGAAATTGTAGTTATGGAGCTAGTTAGGCAAAAGATATTAATGACTTTGAATCACCAAAATATTTAAGAATATAGCATATATGACCATGTGAGTTTGTTTTCTCAAACAATAGTCTAATTATTTAGACATAATACATAAATATGTCTTTTTACTTGGCTTCAACTGACATCTATGCCCTCCAACTTTAGTTGTGCACAAGTAAGCACTTAAACTTGTATAAAATTGAACAAGTAGACCCACGTGTCCTACGTGGCATAACACACGCAGGACACAAAATTGTCATGTAGGACGTCTATAGGATGAATGTGTCTATTTGTTCAATTTTATAAGTGTTTAAGTGTCTACTTGTGTACATCCACAGTTAGAGGGCATAGATGTAAGTTGAGGTCAAGTTAAAGGGTATATTTGTGTATGCCAATTATTGAATATGAAATTGCCAAATAGTGATATGCTGAACTGAATTTAGAAAAGAAATAGATGAACTCCAGTATCCTTTTAATTGACAATCATTTATTTGATGAACATAAACAGTTCATGTTTCACCATCTTATCTTAAGATACATCAAAAGTTAAACTCTCAGTTTTCATCATAAACTCAATTATTACATCACTATGATTAGATCTTGTAATGCAACAGTGCAGAAGTTCCATCTAGACCCTTTTTACGGTAATAACCAGTGTGGTCGTTCACTGTGGTTGAGCGATATTTTGGAGGATTATCTTCTGACAACAATTCAGTAATTGGTCCATAAAGATTGGAAGATGGCAATGGACCTGTACCAAAGAAGCATGCAACTGATATTCTTGAACATAGTTTATTTGTCAATACTCTGTGTTCAACACTAATGTACTTGTCATTTGATACAAGCTGAAACAAAAGCAGCAACAATTAGCACAACTAGTAATCTGTACCAAATAATGTGTTATACATATCGAGTAGATATAATATTCAAAAAGGAAAACAATACTAGCCTGTAGAAGATCTCCAATGTTCACGACAATAGCACCAGGCGTTGGAGGAACATCAACCCACTGATTCTGGTGAAGCACTTGAAGTCCTCCGATAAGATCTTGTAGAAGCACGGTGATAAAACCATTGTCAGAATGCTTACTGGTGCCCATGGTGAGTTCTGGCTGAGGACATGCTGGATAGTAATGGCCCAAAACAGCGAGCCCCTCAGCACAACCGATATCATTGAGATGAGATGGATTGAGACCTAGACCCTTGGACAATAATTCAAACACTGATTTTCCCAATTTCATGATATGATCAGAGAACTCTATTAGTATTTCCCTACAGAAATTTCAGTAAACTCGTGAAACAGTGGGTTATCATAAAACTGACATAAAATTCAGTTTTCTAATTTTTCCTAACAATATCCACCAAAATTATTGTAAAGATATGACACCTGGACATAACTATCGACATTAGCATGACTTATTCTTGATTTTTGTCACAACATAATACATATTTAGTGACTAGGTAAAAAAATGAAGTTTGTTATTTTTCTAATTAATGTTTAGAACATACCTGCATGCTGCTGGAAATTCTTCTGGACTAGGAGGATTAGGAGCCATTAAACAGAAAAGTGTGTCTCTCCAATTTGCAGCTGGAACAGAAGGGCTATACAAATCAAAATTGCAAGAATGAACCACCTTTTTCGTGATATCTCGAGTGTAATACTGATTCTTAACCTCAATATCTTGCTCAAAAAACTTCCGTGCACCTTGCAACATTTCTTCCAGGACAGATACTGGAATGCCATGATTAACCACTTGGAAGAAACCCCATGTCTCTGACGCATCTCGAACTTTGTCCACAATCTCTTTATGCTTGATTGGATCCTTAGAAATGCCTTCAAGGTCTATCACTGGATAAATGAACTGTGTTTCACATGTATCCGAGGACTTCGGTCTGTCTTTTGGTGGTAGCACGAATATTCGAGGCACCTTAGTGATTCCAGCATCAACAAGCCCTTTGATACCTGCCTTTGTATCATCAAAGGCTTTTAACTCACTCATTTTGTCATAACTTTTCTGAATTGTGGTCTGAAAATCATCGGTGCTAGAGATTGCCATCTTCTTTGCTAGAGTGTTGTAAACAAGTAGAATACCTGAGGTTCTTAGAATCTCATAGGCTGCACGGGATACTAAAAGTACTACTCACTATGCAAAACATTTATAATCTTCCCCATCCGGCAATAATAGAGGCTGCAGACTAGGAAATAGTCATGATAAAATTTAAAGGGCTAATTAATTTTTACTTGAAAAAAGAAGATTTGTCAAACTGAGGACCACAGAGGAAGAGAACATTTGGATATCTCTTCTTACCACATAATGATTAGAGTTGATTTGTCAAGGAGATACTAACTTAGACTCCCGGATACTTGTAATTTTGACCACAAAACAGAGAAGTTAAATTACTTTTAAGTCCTTATGAGGATATTAGAAGATATAGTGGTTGCTTATGTAAGGTAGATAAGCCAAAGAAAACAAATTGTGGTCATGGAACTAGCTAGTTCCCATTGATAGTATGCACAACATGTTAATGACTACGAAGATATTTAAGAATACAGGCTATAGCACATGTGACTAAATGAGTTTGTTTTCTCAAAACATTGAATATGAAATTAAAGGCATCCTATGCACTTTTATCACCATGACTAACACTGAGAAATGAGAATCGTCAAATGGTGACATGCTGAATTCAATCTCGAAAGAAATAGATGGAATCCAATATCAGGCGATCATCAAAGCCTGATGTGAATTCCACTTGCTACAGAATATCTTATTAGCTAATTGTACATCACATGTTCAATTTCACAGCTTTGATATGCATTACACTAAATTACTCCAATTTTAGGATAGGATCTTGTAGTCCAGCAGTGTAGAAGTTCCATCAAAGCCTTTCTTGCGGAAGTAGTCTGTATATTCCTTCACTGTGGTTGCACGATACCTTGGCGGATTACATTCTGATAACAATTCCTTAATTGGTCCGTAAATCCTTGGAGAGGGAAACGCACCAGTGCTGAAGAAACATGGCACTGATATTCTTGGACCTACTTTGTTTGACAATACTCTGTGCTCAACACTTATATACTTGTCATTTGATATGAGCTGAAATCAGACAAAGCAAAATTTTATCTCAGTACCAAAACACACTATATGATTTAAGATTATCAGTCTAATTAAGAATGTGAGTTCAATTGTGTGACCGTTTTAGCTAACAGTTTTAGTTTTCAGATAATATGATCACACAATTCAACATCTCACTGCCACCAATTATGAAAAAAGAACTCGTGCTTGGCCTAATCAAGATCGCACACGAAAGGGCATGTTGAAGATATAGTTAAGTAAATAAAAGTACAACTCTCTCTCACAGCTTAAGTTTTTAGGAAACGAATGCTAACCTGTAACAGATCTCCAATATTCACCACTAGAGCACCAGGTGTAGGAGGAACATCAATCCACTGATTTTGGTGACGGACTTGGAGACCTCCTATATCATCTTGTAGAAGCACTGTGATAAAAACACAGTCCGAATGCTGTCTGGTGCCTATGGTGAGTTCTGGCTGAGGACATGCTGGATAGTAATGTTGGGCAATAGATAGCCCCTCAGCACAGTTCAAATCTTTAAGATGACAAGGATTGAGACCGAGACCCTCGGACAATAATTCGAATAATGAGTAGCCCAATTTCATCATCTTCTTAGAGAATTCAATCAAAATCTCCCTGCAGATTTTGGTAATAAAAATTTAAAACTGCAGAATGCAAATTAGTCTGCTCAATTGGCTATCAGAAGCTTGACTTCCTGTTAAATTTATTATTTTAACAAATCTATTTTTGTTACCAACACTTTGTCATGAAGTAATTAAACACTCCAACTCGTCCCCACTATGTACGCTGAAGTGGCACATAAATTTTGGAGGTGTCTAGATGATCATTTTTTTAAGTTGAGTATTCAACTAACACAATGAAGACGAGTTGAGGTGTCTAGATGTGCATACTCAAAGTTGAAGTGTTCACTAATCGGCCAAGTTTGAGTGTTTTTGTGAAAACAATGTGTTCTTTCAGGTGCAAGTTAGAACATACCTGCATGCTGTTGGAAATTCCTCTGGACTAGGAGGATTAGGACACATAAAGCAGAAAAGTGAGTCTCTCCAGCTTGCTGCTGGAACAGAGGGGTTAAACAAATCAAAATTGATAACATGTGCAACTTTCTTCGTAGTATCTCGAGTATAATATTGTTTCTTTATCTCCACATCTTGCTCGAAAAATCTTCTTGCTCCTCGCAACATTTCTTCCAGGATAGATACTGGAATGCCATGATTAACCACTTGGAAGAAACCCCATGTCTCTGACGCATCTCGAACTTTGTCCACAATCTCTTTATGCTTGATTGGATCCTTAGCAATGCCTTCAAGGTCTATCACTGGAAAAATGAACTGTGTTTCACATGTATCCGAGGACTCCGGTCTGTCTTTTGGTGGTAGCATGAATATTCGAGGCACCTTAGTGATTCCAGCATCAACAAGCCCTTTGACACCTGCCTTTGTATCATCAAAGGCTTTTAACTCACTCATTTTGTCATAACTTTTCTGAATTGTGGTCTGAAAATCATCGGTGCTAGAGATTGCCATCTTCTTTGCTGGAGTATTATAAACAAGTAGAATACCTGAGGTTCTTAGAATCTCATCGGCTGCACGGGATACTAAAAGTACTACTCACTATGCAAAACATATATAATCTTCCCTATCCCGCAATAAATAGCGGTTGTAAACTAGGAAATAGTCATGATAAAATTTAAAGGGCTAATTAATTTTAACTACAAAATGAAGATTTCTCAAACTGAGGACCACAGAGGAAGAGAACATTTAGATATCTCTTCTTACCACATAATGATTAGAGCTGATTTGTCAAGGAGCTACTAACTTAGACTCCTGGATACTTGTAATTTTGACCACAAAACTGAGAAGTTAAATTACTTTTTAGTCCCTTATGAGGATATTAGAAGATATAGTGGTAGCTTATGTAAGGTAGATACGCCAAAGAAAACAAATTGTGGTCATGGAACTAGCTAGTTCCCATTGATAGTATGCACAACACGTTAATGACTACGAATAACAAAATATTTTAGAATACAGGCTACAGCACATGTGACTAAATGAGTTTGTTTTCTCAAAATATTGAATATGAAATTAAAGGTATAACACCTCAGAAACCTAAAAGACTGAACAACAGGAAAATTGGTGAACCATGGAGGGGTTCAAGGACCGTGAAAGGAACCACGGTCCGTCGACCTGCTCGTGGTTCACACCCATCCAGAAGTAGTGGACCACAGAGCCCTCCACGGGCCGTGGGGTGGCTCGTCAACCAAAACCAGCAGACCCCCTAGCCCAAGTGAAGAACCACGGTGGCCATCACGGTCCGTGAAGTGGATCGTGGCTGGGAGGTCCAGGAACCAGTAAGCACTGACCAAGAACCACGACCCACTTGACGGGATGTGGTCCCTTTGAGGGTCCGTCAGTGGCTCCGTGGATAGGCCTCGTCAGCTTTTAAGTCAGGGTCGTTTTGGTCTTTTCCCCTATGCATTGGGCATTTAAACTACGTCGTTTAACACCTAAACTACGTTGTTTTAATCAGTTTAAGCCTAATAATCTAGTCAGAACCCACCTAAAACCTTTATTCTCCAAAAATCATCGAAATTAGAGCAAAAAGAAGAGGAAAGTCGACCAACCCTCTCAAGAACACACAGAAGGTTTTCTTCAGTTCCAGCCCCGAAATCAAAGAATTTCTCCATAGATTTCTTCACCAGATATGTGGTATTTCACAAGTGGGTTCCTTTCATCCACTAGGTCCCTAGAATTCAGTCAGTCCATTGATTTTCTATATCTTGTTTAAACCTAGGGTTTCTAAAACCTTAGAGAATTGTTATGATTTAGTTGTTGTAGTATCCTTAATCGAAATAGCATGTTTCTTAGAAAATTTGCTTAATTCCTCATAGAAAAACTCAGAACCGTAGTTTTGTATGATTTATCTTAGTTCATGAATTATATTTGCTAGGTCAGTTAAACAAATAATCATGCTCCGAATTTCAAATGCTACATTATTAGTTTATAAATATTGCATTCTCAGATTGCATATCAGTAGTTTGAGCTATTCAGTATTTCAGTTACATTTGTGTCATATACATATTCAGTTGGGAGTAGACTTAGCACCGAGTTGGACTAGGGTTCAGTGTACCCTCATAGTCCCAGAACTACGTTCCCCGTTAGAGTATAAGTCCCCTCTATTGGGCCTCAGATTTAGTGATCACGCCAGTCATGCCTTTATACCCCTGACAAGGTATATTGGGTCCTCTCGATGGGGCGTATACATCGAACTCCATGGTTAGCTCACGTGGTTTATGTTGGTTAATAGTAGCTCCCACATTCAAACTCCTAGTGCATTTGACCAGGTTTTCAGTATATACTTTAGTATTCAGTTTAGTATGTCTTGTTTATGATTAGCACTTGGTCATTGCATTCAATTTAGCTTTTCAGTTACGTTATGTTTTAATATTTACATTCTTGCTCAGTTTATGTGATTGCTTAGTTATGCTTTGTTCATCTTATATATATTTGTTCAGCTTAGTGTATATATCTTGCATGCTCAGTACATTCCAAGTATTGGCGCATACTCTGCGCTACATCCTTTCATAATGTAGGTTCAGGTACTCAACATCCAGATCACGCTTAGATCGATTCTCGGTTCACATTCAACAGCTTTAGTGGTAAGTCCTCATATTCCGAGGACAGTAGACACGTTTTTAAAGTCTTTATATTCAGTTTTCAGTTTTGTTAGAGTTAGCTGGGGGGCATGTTCCAGCAACTCAACTCAGTTAGAGGCTTTTCAGACATAGTAATAAATTCAGCTTGAGTTGTTAAGTGGTTGTCAGTTATCACTAAACTCTTAGTATATTTTATATATTCAAACTAGTTGGTTTTTTCTCCACTTTCAATTATCCATTGTTTTAGCTTCCGCATAGTATATGTCTTATTCAGTTATTCTCAGTATGCTTGATATATGCCAAACAACTGGGTTAGCTTGGGGTCACTCATGATCCTAGGTCCCGTGTTATGTCAAGAGGGTAGCCTCGGGCGTGACAAACTTGGTATCAAAGCATTAGGTTCAAGAGTCCTAGGATGTCTGAAAGCCGCACTAAGTAGATTCTCTTTCATGGGTGTGAAGCACACCACATCTATGAGGGGTAGGCTACAAAGTGTTTTAAGAAAAACTTCACTTCCTTTGTGATTCTTAGCGTGTGTGAGGTATGATTCAACTTCTCTTTTCTAATTCTCCGTTATGCATTTCAGATCATGCCTCCTCGTAGAGCAAACACATGGAATGCTAATACACACAATGCTAACGCAGTTCCTCCAGTCCTGAACCATAAGGTTGCGAATGCAGAATTTCAAAATGTGATCCAGCTTTTGGCTCAGAATATGTCCAATCAGAACAATCAGTAGGCCCTAGTTCTTGCAAGCACGAATGGTGGATCAACTGCAGCAAGGGTTCGAGACTTTGTTCTAATGAATCCGCCTGAATTTCTAGGGTCGCAGGTAAGTGAGGACCCACAGAAGTTCGTTGATGAGGTTAAGAAAATTCTTGGAGTAATCTAAGTGACTGGAACTGAGAGTGTTGAGCTAGCATCCTAACAACTTAAGGATGTGGCTCATATCTGGTTAACTCAGTGGAAAGACAACAGGGGTGCGGATGCAGCTCCTGTGACTTGGGATTGTTTTACTAGAGCTTTCCTAGACAGGTTCTTTCCAAGGGAATTGAGAGAAGCTAAGGCATAAGAGTTTATGAACTTGAAGTAGGGTTCAATGTCGGTCCAAGAGTACATGCTGAAGTTCACCCAACTCTCCAAGTATGCTCCACACATGGTTATCGATCCAAGGGCACAGATGAGTAAGTTCTTGTTTGGGGTATCCTATCTGGTGAATACCGAGTGCAGGAATGTTATGCTTCTAGAAGATATGGATATCTCCAGGCTAATGACTCATGCTCAGTAGTTTGAGGGATATAAGCTTGGGGAATTGGCTAAGGATAACAAAAAAGCCAGAACAGAAAACTATGAATACTCACAACAAAAGTCGGACGGTGGAAATCGCTCACAGTTTCAACAGAGGTCTACATCCCAGGCACCTTCATCAGCTAGTGCTATATCCCTCAAGTTTCGACAGGATCAGAAAGGTAGGGCATCAGTCTCTAAGTCTCAAGAGGGGCTTCAGGTATCATGATTTTCTCAACTTGTCCAAAGTGTGGTAAGAACCATCCAGGCGAGTGTCTTGCAAACAAGGAAGGGTGTTTTGGGTGTGGTCAGTCTGGCAATAGGTTGAAGGATTGCCCTTCTGCCAGGAAGGTGCAAGGAGGTAACAACAATAAGGCTCAGTCTACATCTCCAGCAGCATCAGCAGGTCCCTCAACTCAACAAAGTGCTTCGTCTAGAACAGGTGGCGGTCAGCGCCAGAACAGGTTGTATGCTCTCCAGGCTCGCCAGGACCAGGAAGATTCTCCCGTTCTATTTTTTCTCACAAACTATTTTCTTACACTGTATATGTGGATTACTCTATTGGTCAATATTGATTCTCACTATTTTTCAGTGTGTTTTGAAGTGAAAGAACTCCTTGGAAAAAAATTAAAGCCCAAGTACATAAAAGAAAATGGACTACATAAAGTTTCCATCACATATTGGTCCTTTGGCCTCAAGCAAAATATTGGTAGCCAAGTCTTCTATGCAAATAGGCGTATGCCTATATATGAGTATAGACCCAGAAATTGTAGTTATGGAGCTAGTTAGGCAAAAGATATTAATGACTTTGAATCACAAAAATATTTAAGAATATAGCATATATGACCATGTGAGCTTGTTTTCTCAACCAATAGTCTAATTATTTAGACATAATACATAAATATGCCTTTTTACTTGGCTTCAGCTGACATCTATGTCCTCCAACTTTAGTTGTCCACAATTAAGCGCTTAAACTTGTATAAAATTGAACAAGTAGACCCACGTGTCCTACGTGGCATAACACACGCAGAACACAAAATTGTCATGTAGACGTCATGTAGGATGAATGTGTCTATTTGTTCAATTTTATACAAGTTTAAGTGTCTACTTGTGCACAACCACATTTAGAGGGCATAGATGTAAGTTTATGTCAAGTTAAAGGGTATATTTGTGTATGCCAATTATTGAATATGAAATTGCCAAATAGTGATATGCTGAACTGAATTTAGAAAAAAATAGATGAACTCCAGTATCCTTTTAATTGACAATCATTTATTTGATGAACATAGACAGGTCATGTTTCACCATCTTAAGATACATCAAAAGTTAAACTCTTAGTTTTCATCATAAACTCAATTGTTACATCACTATGATTAGATCTTGTAATGCAACAGTGCAGAAGTTCCATCTAGACCCTTTTTACGGTAATAACTAGCGTAGTCGTTCACTGTGGTCACGCGATATTTTGGAGGATTATCTTCTGACAACAATTCTGTAATTGGTCCATAAAGATTGGAAGATGCCAATGGATATGTACCAAAGAAGCATGCAACTGATATTCTTGAACTTAGTTTATTTGTCAATACTCTGTGTTCAACACTTATGTACTTGTCATTTGATATGAGCTGAAACAAAAGCAGCAACAATTAGCACAACGTAACTAGTAATCTGTACCAAATAATATGTTATATTCATT